TTTTGTGTGTGTGTGGCCAGCTCAGCCCACCAGGGGGCGGGGCTGGCTCGCATGTGGTGCTGGGGGATTGAACTGCAGTCCCTGTGCTTTGCTTAGCTTAGCTTGTTCTAAGTAGGTGCTTTAGACCACTGAGCCATCTCACCAGCCCCTATAGCTTTATTTTAAAGTCTTGCTTTTTTTTTTTTTCTTTGTCTTTTTGAAAGAGGGTTTCACTGTTCAGTATGTGGTTCAGGCTGGCCTTGAACTCACTTTGTAGTCCAGGCTGACCTCAAACTCAAAGCAATCCTCCTGCCTCAGCCTTCCCATTGCTGCGATTACAGGCAGGTACCACCATAGCTGGCAAATCTTGCTAATTTTGCATGTTTTTTACAGCATAGCATTTTGATTACATGTATATGTGAGTTTCATGTTATTTACACAAGTACAGTGAAGTAAGTTCTAGGAAAATATTGCACATTTAGTTTCAGGAGCAGGTTGCAAAGATGAAAAGCTGAGGCCCAGGGGTGGAATTGGATTTGTTTTAAGTCACAGCAAATTCGGGCAGAGCTGGAATTGGAATTCAAGACTCCAGTCTTTTAATTTCTGCCCAAGGCTTGTTCTTTGCAAAGGCTCCTGGTCCTTGTTTCTTGGTGTCTAGGCATGTACAGTGGGTGGGAACTGTCCACCTTGGTCTAGGCGGTCATCTAGGAATTGAGTGGCAAGGAAGAGGGAAGGAACAGAGTGGACAGCCCCTGGGCGGCATGTGTAATTGTGAGTGTAATGTGTCTGTGTGCATACGTGTGGGTGCGTGCAGGGGCTAGGTGTGGCTCAGGGCAGCTGTCCTGGAGATGGCATCTGCTAGGTAGGGGCTGGGATTCCCCAGATAGTGTGGGATCTCAAGGGGCTCTGGCTGGTGTATACATGCTTGAGCCATGTATAGAAGGAAAGATTCTGCTGTCTCCTGTGAGAGCAGAAACAGGGTTCTCGGGGCCAGCGTGCTGGGATTGGTTCAAGGAGGCGGCAGCAGTAGCATGCCTAGAGACCTTTTGGGAGAGGCTGGCCAGTTTGGGTGAGGGTGTGGGACTGTGAGCTCATGCTGGTTGGGCGGCAGGTCCTTGGTCCTTTCTTTCCTCAGTCTTCTCATCACTGTTTTGCCTTCGCCTCCCCCAGAATTCTTGGCTGCCCCAGAGTCTCATCCATGAGAACTGTGCCAGGCCCAGGGGTCCCCAACACCTCTGTTTAGGCTCCCTGCCCCCATGCCCACGCAGGCACACACCCACCACCAGTCCCAACCTGCCCCGCCTGCCACTTTAAGTCTCGAGGCTGCCCGTCCTGCCCCTCCCACCTGAACCAGGCTGCTTATCTGGGTCCTACGGCAGGGGCGGGGCCCTGGCCCAGCCTCTTGGGTACTGAGGCTTAGTTCCTGGAGTTTTCGCTATGGAACTGGGTGAGCAGCAGGAGAGAAGCAGGGTAAGTGTGGGGATTGGGGAGTTGTACCCACGTGATGGGTGGTGAGAGACCCTCAAGGTTGAGGGACCCCCCAAGAGGTGGTGTGGGTTAAGGCTGGGACTCAGGGTTGGGGTGTTATGAACTGGAGAGAGGTACGCAAGCCAGGAACAGAACTGTGCCTGTGGTCTTCACCCCTAGGCCCTTGTGAGGCAACCATTTCTGGGTGTGTGTGTGTGTGGATTCAGTGCTGGGGCCCTGGAGCACATACTCACAGCTGGGCCTGGGCCTTTGAAGACTGGCAGCAGCCCTCCCTGCTAGGAAGGAGCCGAGGACTGCTTGTGGGAGACTTGGAGCTGAGCCGAGGCTAGGAGGCTCATGTCCAGCGCCTGTTCTGGTCCGCATTGTCTGGGCCCTGTGGGTTCGTGGGTCTGCTTCCCAGCCCTGTCTGACACCGTAGGTGCCCACTGGGCTGCATGTAGACTGTGTTTATCTGTGAGTGCGTTTGTGCATGTCAGGGCTGGTGTCTGAGAGCCTGCCTGTTACTGCGGGGCCAGTGCACATGTTGTGTCCACATGGACCTGCGTCAACCAGTGTGCCCACGTGCTCTTATGCCAGCAGACCTGCATGTCCTTGTCGGTTTGAGCTCCTGAGCTGATCTTTGACTCTTCACGCTTTTCATTCTGCCTACCTTTGTGTGTTCTGTGTGTGTTTGGGTGTGTCCTTGTGTGACCACAAGGAAGCCCCAATCCTGGGACAGAATGAGAAGGAAAAGGAAACAGGAAAGTAGGAGGGACAGGCCAGCCGCACAGGTGGCCACAGCCTAGTTCCTCCACCACTTCTGGAGCGCCCTCCTTTCCACCGTCTCCCACAGATCTTGGGGTCAGGAATCTCCTGGCTTGATTCAGAACTCTAAGCCCCTAGTGCCCCAGTTCTCCCAGCTGGAGCTAGCTTGGCTCTAGCTGCCCTCGGACTGGGCTTTCTCCACTCATGCCCTGCTTTGGCCACCCTCCCTAGGAACGCCAGCGTCTGGAGACCATCCTGAACCTGTGTGCTGAGTACAGCCGAGCTGATGGGGGCCCTGAGGCTGGGGAGCTGCCAAGCATCGGAGAAGCCACTGCTGCGTTGGCCCTGGCGAGCAGGAGGCCCTCACGAGGCCTTGCAGGAGCCATTGTGTCCTCTGGGCGGGGCAGCGAGGAGCCTGGAGGTGCCACCCAACGCCTGTGGGAGAGTGTGGAACGTTCAGATGAGGAGAACATGAAAGAGGAGTGTAGTAGCACCGAGAGCACCCAGCAGGAGGTGGGTGATCAGGGGGAGGAGGAGGCCGGGGCTGGGGCTGTCCGGGCCTGCTGTGGGCCACTATGGCTGGCGTGAATGCCCACACACTGGGAGTGGGAAGTAATGGAAGGCTCAGGCTTGGGGAGACACCAGAAACTTGCCTGCGTAGAAATGAGCAGGCAAGGAAGAGAAGGGAGGTGGCAAGGACTTTCCCAGGCTATAAATAGGCTTTCTGACCTGCCTTTCCTCGGGGCTCCACCCAGGCCTAGAACTCTGGCAAATTTTTATTCCCTGTGGCAGATCCTTTATTGCTTCCCTGACAAGGAGGGCATTAGCCTCCTGCCTCAGCCCAGCTACCTCTTCCAAGTGCCTTGAGGAATGGGCAGTTTGATCTCTTAGCCCAATCTTGGGAGGCTTTAGGCATCCTCACTGATGGCCTCTTTCCCCTCCAGCATGAAGATGCGCCTAACGGCAAGCTCCAGGGAGAGATCCTGGCCCTGGAGGAGGAGCGGGCTCAGGTGCTGGGCCATGTGGAGCAGCTCAAGGTCCATGTGAAGGAGCTGGAGCAGCAGTTGCAAGAGGCAGCAAGAGAGGTGAGCAGGCTTTAGGAGTGCGAGCCTCAGACAGGCACCTGCGTTCGCTATCTTGACGGCAACCTTGGTGTCTGCCCTCAGGCTGAAATGGAGCGGGCGCTGCTGCAGGGGGAAAGGGAGGCAGAGCGGGCTCTGCTGCAGAAGGAGCAGAAGGCAGTGGACCAGCTGCAGGAGAAGCTGGTGGCCTTGGAGACAGGCATCCAGAAGGAGAGGGACAAGGTAACCCACACCTGGCCCAGTGCAGCGCTGGGTACCACTGGCCCAGGAGAGGAGAAATGCCTTCCCTGGGGCTCTGGACCCCTCACCTCATCTTCTGTCCTGTGTACCAGGTAGTCTTCAGGGACAGGGGGCCTTGTCCTCTGTAGAAGGTACCAGCTTGGAAGGTGCTGCTAGGGGCTGGGCTGGTGTTTGGGGTCTTCTCTGGGTCTCTGTGCTACTTCTGGATATGCCTGGGTGCCTGCCATTCTGGCCTTCATGGTCCTTCCTGGAAGTGCGAAGCCCCTTCTTGGGCAGTGAGCACTGCTGGAGGGCTCAGTGCCTGGGTGATTCAGGTTTGGATCCGGCCCTCTGAAGAAAACAAAAGTGTGCCTCGGGCGTTTAGAACTGGTCTTTGGGAGGTGGCCTGCAGGCCTCTGCTTCCTGGTCTTCAGGATCTGCATCCTCCCATCCCACATGGTCCCAGCTCCTGCCCCTGCCCCTTTCAGATTTCGTGCCAGCCTGCAGGGGCTGCTCCGTCCCAAGGGGCCGTGCCAGCCATGCCCAAGATGCCCAACAGCGTGCCAAAAGCTCTGAAGTGGAGAAGGGTCATCTATTCTGGATTTGACAGTATTTTTCCAAGAACTTTATTTTCCTGTTGGATTTTTTTTTTTTTTTTGAGACCGTCTTCTTTTTGCCCTCAATTTTGATGATATTAAAACTTCTTTGACCCTTTTTTTTTTTCTTTTTGGAGCTTTGGCCCCTCAAAACCACACTCCCAAATTCTGTGCCAAATTAACTCCATGCTTGTCCACCAGGCCTGCACTAACGCCCCCCTCTAATCACTGTCCTGGGCGCTCCGCATGCCCTAACTGCCAGGCCACCCAGGCAGGGCTGAGCCATGCCTGCTTTTGCACTAACTCCACAGTGCCTTCGTGCCCCTGGCCTTTCCCTTCTAATGTTGCCTCCTTCTTTGCTTGGTGTGGGACCCCATGGTTTTGATCAGAAAGGAACTGGCAGGAGCGCACAGCTAAATGCCAGTTTTTTTATTTAACACAACACTGACTGGTAGGAGGGAAATGAGGATGAGGAAAATGCTTGCTGGAAGAGCTGCTCAGTGAACAGCTCCTCCCCTGGAAAGGCCGGGGCTGGTGCCTACGGTATACCTGAGGGCTTCCTACAGGGCAGGGGCAGGGGCAGGCAGGTTATGTTGCCCCCTCCTCCTGCCTACCTTCTGGAGCTGCTAACTAAGGAGGTCCACATTCTGGCATAGCCTTGGAGGTCTTGGACAGAGCCTCTCTGCCAACTTAGTGGCTACTCATCCTAGCTTTTCTGATTCAGCCACCCCAAGCAGAGGGGAGAATGGTGGCATCCCTCTATCCACCCTGGAGGCCCCTGACAACAGGGATAGGGAAGTGCCTGGCCCCCGGTGGCAACTGGCTTGATCAGGATATTCCCTCTGGGGGTGGGTAGGTGGGTGGAGGGCAGAGGTGGGTGAATGGGACAGGTACAACACAGAGGCTTGCTCCTGGGGGTAAAGCTTAGGATTACACAAGGAACCTGCTTTCCTCACATCTTACCCGCCTGGGAATGCTTGGAGGGCTGGACTTTGTCTTTCCTCTGGGCCCAGTGTGAGGTTGCAGAAGTGAAGGTTGGTGGTGGTGGTGAATGGTGACAGTAATGATGCTGGTTCAGGGAGCTTCCTGTCTCAGCCCTCAGCCTGTGGCCCCCCTCTGGCTTTGGAATCAGTAATCAGGGTTTCTCCTCTGCCTGTCCTTGGGAGAGGTGACTCACCAACTCCTCCCCTCTTCCCCTTTCCCGCCCTCAGAGGTGTCATCTCGCCCCAGACAGAGCCACCCACCTCCTCTCTGTACCCACTCCTGGGGCTTCTGTTACCATGGCAACGGCCAACTAATTGCAACCCTTATCCCTACTCGTGTTTAGCCGGCAGCGCCAGCACCCCACCCCCAACCTGGGCAGGAGGGGAGGGGCCGGGAGGTCGGGCTGGGGTCCTCGGCTTCTGCACCGCTCTAACATTCACACCCAACCTGTGGACTTAACACTTTACCGTCACGTCCTGCCTCCCCAGGGTTAAATTCTGGTCTCTGGGCAGTGGTAGACATCAAGGCTCCACTTTCTCGACATGTGGCATCAGCTTTGGCCTCTGCGAGTTTGGAGAGGAATCAGAAGGCCGTGAATCAGGACCTTCCCAGACATTCCTAGGTCTAGGGACACAGGAGACCACAATTTCCCCCCTGCTCCACACCCCTGCCTGTGCAACAGGTCCTTCTGCCTGCCTTACGCCTCTGCAATTGGCCTCTCCCTCCCTGCCGGCCCTCTCCTTCTCTCGAAGCCTGGCCTGCCCTTCCCCGCGCCGTGCCCTCCGCCGCCGCAGGGCCGGAGTTGAGGAGTGTGTGTTCTCTCTCCCCTGTGCCCCGCCTCCCTCCCCTCCCGCCGACCAGGAGAGGGCGGAGCTGGCCGTGGGACGGAGGCACCTGGAGGCCCGCCAGGCGCTGTACGCCGAGCTCCAGATGCAGCTCGATAACTGCCCCGAGTCAGTGCGGGAACAGTTACAGGAGCAGCTGAGAAGGGTCAGTTCCAGCCCCTCCCCCGGCCCCCGAGGGCCACCCACCCAGACCGCGGAGCGGAGAGCGGTGGGACGGGACGTCCGGCCCCTGCAGTGCCTGCCGGACACCAGGGTCGGTGCTGAGGCTTGGAGGGGCCAGAGGTTGGGGGGATCCAGCGCTCCAGGCCCTGATGGCAAAAAGCCCAGTGGAGCAGAGCAGAGGGAGCCGGGAGGGGACAGGTTCTCTGCCCAGATTCCTCGGGTCGAGCCCCCACCACGCCGGTCTCTGAGCATCACCCAACCCCACTGTGTCACTGTCATTGAAGGAAGCAGAGGCCCTGGAGACGGAGACAAAGCTGTTTGAGGACTTGGAGTTCCAGCAGCTGGAGCGGGAGAGCCGTGCCGAGGAGGAGCGCGAGCTGGCCGGCCAGGGGCTGCTGCGGAGCAAGGCAGAGCTGCTGCGCAGCGTGGCCAAGAGGAAGGTGGGCCACGATGCCTGCTCCTGGGCTCCAGAGCAGAGCTGACTGGAAACTAACTTCACTTCGTTTGTTTGTTTGAGACAAGGCATCACTGTAGCCCAACCTGGCCGCCAAAGGCTTAGATCTCCTGCCTCGCCTCCTGGGTGCTAGGATTGCTTCACATTTTTTTGCATGTTTCCTAGTCTGTATAATCAGAGCTACACAGCAGGCAGCTGTCAGAATTAGCATGTAAGGCAGGATGGAATGCCCGCTGACAGCACTCAGCAAAGGGTGGCTGCCTGGGACACTGTACCCAATCCTCTTGTTTATAGCTCAGCCAGGCCAGGGATGAACCAAGGCCAGAACCAAGGTGGGCACCTTTCCTCAGTCCCTGGATTGATCATGGTATCCTGGCCCTAACCCTAATCCTAAAGAGTAGCTAGCATTAGTAATCCTGCGTCTTCTCAGTTTTCCAGTGGACATGGAGTTGGCTAAGGCTGTGGCTGTTGCTGATCTTGGACCAGGCATGGCTGGATGATGGGGCCGGTGTGTGTCTGTCATGGGAAGATGGCCCAGGAGGCTCACAGGCCTGTGACTGAGGCTCGGGCTCCGGGATCCATGTGTGCATGTGCAGCCTGTCTGGAGTGCGTGCGAGGCAAGGACAGTGAGATGGGGAACAGTGTCCTAAAGTGGTGAATCGAGGGACTTGCTGGCCATTTGGGTTTGGTGGTAAGTGAGGAGCTGCAGGACCTCCCAGGTCCGGGCTGCTTGCTTGTCTCTGAGCTACCATGCCTTCCAAATGCATACATACTTCAGATTCCCAAACACACGAGCGTGTGGTAGGCTCCCAACCAGGTCATTTTACATCTGTAGGGGTGTTTCACAAGGTCAGTACTCTTCTCCCCATCTTATAGGGAGAAAAACTAGGGTACAGGGAAGCGACATGTTAACCCGAAACCTCTCAGGCTACAAGCTTAGAGCGAGAGTTGGAAAGCAGGCCTGCCTCGGCCCACAACCCATGGTCTTTCGTCTGTGCTGTGTGGGGTATAAAGGCTGGCATTCGTCTGGATTCTTCTGCTTTCCTTTTGGGGGCTATGTAGCAAGGACCACGTAGCTCACCTGTGCCTGTCCCTGAGCGCCAGGAAGTTTTGGAGGGGTCAGTGGTCTGGACTCCACTTTTTTCTTCTCCATACTCTCACCTCTAGGAAATAAGCTCAGCACTGAGACCTGGGAATGGGGCATCACATTCTCCCCCATGCTCCTGCCTCTGCTCAGCCTCTCCCTGAACACGAGGTTCTGTCTGCCCTACAGCCCTGAGATCCTCTGTCCACTCTAGTTCAAAGTGAGGAGTACTAGCCCTACAATCCAACCTAACCATAGGTTCTAGGTTCTAGTCCCATCTCTGCCACTCACTAGCTGAGACTTTAGTTCCTAAATATAGGAGCTAGGTTCAGTATTCTAACCTGTAAAATGGCCACTGAAGGCACCTGTCCCATAAGATTAACCAAACTATGGGGGCCAGGGTGATGGCTTGGTGGAATAAGAGCTTCCCTGAGAAGTGCAAGGGCCTGAATTCAATCCCTGGTTCTGCCAAAAAAAAAAAAAAAAAAAAAAGATTAACCAGAGTAACAAGTGTAGAATATCTAGCAGAGCTCCAGAGCCCTACTGAGTTCTATGAAAGTGGTGGCTCTTGTGGTGAGGGGTACTGTCTAACTTGCTGCTTTTCTTGGGTTGCTCCAGGTTTAGCACAGCTTCTTTCATCATACATTCTTCTTCAGGGGTTGTTCCTTGGAGGGGTGGTTTAGACCACTTCTTTATGGAAGCCTTCCTGGGATTAACACTGCCCAGTTTCCCTAGTGCTTATCTCCCTCACCTAGTGTCTTTTTATTTCCTTTTAGGGAGATTGAACTCAGAACCCTGTGCTTTCAAGGCAGGCACTTATGTACTAAGCTATATCCTCAGCCCTTAGATCTTATTTTCAGGATGAGGTGATGGTGGTGGTAGACAGATATATGGACAAATAACAGTAAGAAAAGGAACATGGCGATATAGAATAATGTGAGCACAGAGGACAGAACAGAGAAATTGAGTGGTAGTCAAAGATGGTTTTGGGAAGGAGATAGCATTCGGTCTCGGCTTGGAGGCTGACAGGTTTGGGATGGGTGCAGAACCCTGGGACAGCAGCCTTTGGCTGAGGGAGAGACTGAAGGGAGATTGAAAGTACAGCATAGCCAAGCCCAGGATGCATGGAGGGCTGAGCAGGCAAAGGGTAGAACCAGTTCCTGCAGTCCTTGGATGCTGACAGGGAGTCAGTGCTTTATCCTGTGTGTAACAAGGAGCCATCCATTTTTGTAATCCCAGCACTCAGGAGGCTGAGGCAAGAGAATCGCTGAGTTTGAGGCCAGCCTGGGTTACATAGGGAGACCCTGTCTCTAAAAAAAGAAAACCAAACCAAAAATGAATAAAAAGGCTGGGGAGGGGCTGGGGAGATGGCTCAGTGGAATAAGCGCTTCCCTGGCAAGCACAAGGGCCTGAGTTCAATCCCCGATTCCGCCAAAAAAAAAA